AAGTCAAGCCTGACCACCCAATCCCGTTAGTCACCGCTCATGACAAGCATGGGATACTGAAAACCAATTCTAACCTGGATCTTCACGGGTTAAACCTGCATGGCCTCATGCTAAGACTTAAAGCAATATGCCAGGCAAGAACTTTTTGTGTAAAAGGAGAAAATCAATTCCGTGGTCCGATAATTCATCTCCTAAGTTATTTCAACTTTTGACAGAGATGAGCCAAGCTGTACTTGACTGTTTGTTTACATGCTGCCAATGTTCAGATTTATGCTTGTCCACCTTCTGCCATGTTGTCTAGAATTATGTTTGTTTCTGCACATGTCCAGATTTATAGTTCAATGTGTCTTTTTTGTGAGCAAAACATGACAAAAGATTTCTACATTGTGGTGCTTCTGACTTGTATCCAATTTCAGCAAGGTTTCCACATTTTTTCTCAGCCTCTGAGTAGTTTCCACTCACATGCTATCATTCATGTTGGGTTATTTAAAGCAATCGTCAACATTTTTAAAAATAATTTTTCTTAAACTTCAGTTTCAGGTAATATCCCGTCATCATTCACTGGCGCTGATGTTCGACCGAGTTCATTTCTATGACCTCTGCCAAATGATAGTTATGTATTTGAATAAAGGTGAGTTGAATGGGGTTTAACATCAGATTTAATGTACTTTCACTTGCATGCATGTGCTTGTACAGCTATTTGACCAGATACAGCTGCTTGGACAGTACTTGCCCACTCAGATGCCACAGATAGATACTCAACTCATTATTCTAACTCCCGAAGGATTCTATTTGTTTGTTTGTTGTTTAACACTGCACACAGCAATATTCCAGCTATGTGGCTATAAGACTTCACCGCAATATCCAGTGATCAACAGCATGAGCATCGACCTATGCAGCTGGGCTAGGATGGATGACATGTGTCAACCAAGTCAGCCAGTCTAGCCACCTGATCCCATTAGTCACCTCTTACGACAAGTATGGGTTGCTGAAGACCAATTCTAACCTGGATCTTCACGGGTACTTCCCAGAGGAAGAACTACAAGCGCCATCTTTTAAGGTGTATGACATAGCCAAGGGACTGAACCACTGACCACTGGGAAGAGGCACCAAACCATGGTCTGTACAACATTGGTCAGTCCATTTAATACAACCTTGACATCTTTACTGGGTGTTACTGAATGTTGTTGCTTGAAGATCCTTTGCCAGTACATAAGCTGCTCATTGTGTGAGGTAGCTAATTACCAGCGACAACACATGTTAGACATGCAAGTATCAGATATCCAGATCTTGTCATCTCGCTCAGCTCGTCAAAGAGGCTTACTCTGCCTTTAAGACCATTACCACTGCAGCCTTGCATTGCACGCATCTGTATTTAAGAAATACAGTTTGACCAGCCTCCATGTATCGTGTAATAACATACAGTTTTGTCCAGCACTATAACATTAAAGCACAAGGATGCTTTAATGTTGCATCAGAGTGCTTTAACAGTATAATCGTTCAGGGCAAAACTGTACTTTATCACACTTTTCATGGGGTGGAACGAACTGTAATTCTTTCTAATTCAAGAAATTAATACTTTCCGGCAATTAATCAAAGGCACAAAACAAATAAAACACCAAATGCTGGTTACCTCAATTATAAATCCTTGTTCAGGGCTAACTGATTTTCTCTTCTATTGATTTGTCTGCCCCTACGTTAAGATACATGTTACCAATAAACTAAGTCTTAGACATTTATAACTTGGGAGAAACCCACAGGAAAAGGTAGGGTGGTAACAAAACTAGAAACAATTGAACAAAACCAGAATTATAACTCCAGAGGGTCAGTGACCTGGTCAACTGTATGTAACTGTCAGGAAAAGGTAGGGCGCTTACAAAACTAGAAATAATCGAACAAAACCAGAATTTTTCTCCAGAGGTTCAGTGACCTGGTCAACTGTATGTAACTGTCAGGAAAAGGTAGGGCGCTTACAAAACTAGAAATAATTGAACAAAACCAGAATTTTAACTCCTGAGGGTAAGTGTCAGGAAAAGCCCAAACAACTTCAGTATTCTAACTCTCCAGAGGAAAAGGTAGGGCTATGTTACAAAACTAGAAATAATCGAACATTTTTTTTTTCTCCAAACCAGTGAATTAAAACTGTATGTAACTGTCAGGAAAAGGTCTACAAAACTAACTCAGAGGGTCAGTGATGGTCAACTGTATGTAACTGTCAGGGCTTAAATGATACACTATGTTGTGATACAGTGTATATCTGAATAGTATGGTTGTGATACAGTACATGACATCTCTAGAAATAAAACTTGACTCTCACATGGTTATGTCATGTCATCAAAGGAGAAATACTCCACACTTCTTGTACATACCAGAAGAAAGTAGTATTTTCTAATTCATTTTCATAACAAGTTTGGTTATTACATATCAGCAATCATAACATTTTGAAAGTATTTTTCAAACATTTGGACAATTCACACAGTGTTAGATATTGCTCATAATATCCACCCCTGGTTTGCCATTTCCAGATAGCTGGCATACTGCATCATTAAAACATCAAACAATTTGTTTTATAAATTTAACATGTTTTCAACCCTTTGCAGAAAATAGAAAAACTTATGTTTAAGAAAAAAATATTCCATATCAAATACATCTCAAATGAAGAAATAAAAAACTTGGAAATCATGTGGCACACACTGGCCCACAATCAGCCAGCAAACCTTAGAGCTGATTGTAGCCTCGGTATCTGGAATCATCACTGGCCGACGCCTCAGCTACTCAGTATCATCAAACACTCTCAGCATCATGTTGCTTCATGTCAAGGAGAAGAACTCGGGGATAAAATGCAGCAAGACTTACACCTTCTGAATGTTTAGAGTCCTATCCATCACTCTCTAATTACCTAAAAACAACAAAAACCCAGCCTGACAAAGATGTCCATGCAAAGTTTGTCCACTCCAGCTCTTTTTTATAAAAATTTATCATTTGGTAAATCACTACACTTCCAAACTTCAAATAGTTTTTAAGAGTTTTTTGTGGGGGGGTCGATGTTTAGTATTGAATGTTGCCACCGCATTCCACTTGCGTGATTGGGTGTTGAAGAAGTCAGAGGTGTTTTTCATCTTCTACACAATACAAACATAGTGTCTGTCGTGTTCCGTAAAAACATGCTTACTACATCTTTGTGATTTAAGATCAGGATTTGAAATTGAAATTAATAATTCAAACTTTAAAAGACTCTTGAAGACATTTACGCTATCTCATGAGAACTGTGCCATAAAAAACATATTTAGTCATGCCTATGATAGCATTTGACTCTAAAGTAATCTTCATGGTGTTGAGTCAACTAATACTGTTTGATAACTGTTTAGATCAAACTCATGCCAAATATGGCTTTTCATGTGTGCCACTTTTTGCAAGCCTGGCAGGTTCAACTAAAGAGAGTGAAAACAAAGTCTCCCTAAATAAAGGCCATTTCACAAGGAGAGTAAAGGCCATTTCATTTCATAAGATGAGTAAAGGCCATTTCATTTCATAAGGAGAATAAAGGCCATTTCATTTCATAAGATGAGTAAAGGCCATTTCATTTCATAAGGAGAGTAAAGGCCATTTCATTTCATAAAATGAGTAAAGGCCATTTCATTTCATAAAATGAGTAAAGGCCATTTCATTTCATAAGGAGAATGAAGGTCATTTCATTTCATAAGGAGAGTAAAGGCCATTTCATTTCATAAGGAGAATAAAGGTCATTTCATAAGGAGAATAAAGGTCATTTCAGGAGAATAAAAGTAACTCCATTTCACAAGTAGTGAGTGAGTGAGTGAGTATGGTTTTACGCCGCTTTTTAGCAATATTCCAGCAATATCATGGCGGGGGACACCAGAAATGGGCTTCACACATTGTACCCATGTGGGGAATCGAACCCGGGTCTTTGGCGTGACGAGCGAACGCTTTAACCACTAGGCTACCCCACCGCCCCCATTTCATAAGGAGAATAAAGGCCATTTCATTTCATAAGGAGAATAAAGGCCATTTCATTCATAAGGAGAAAGGCTATTTCATAAGGATACTGTTTCCTCCATTACATGATTAACAACGGTAGGAAGCCTGGGTCTGACAGACCAGAATATGGACTATTAATCAAATATTTTACATAAACTACCTCTGCCAGTATGAGGTGTCAGGGGAACAAGCTGTACATTTAATCATGGCAAACATCAACACAAAGATGATCAGTCATAATATTGAGAGCTGACATCAATACCATACCAATCTCAATAAAATAATCTCTCTGTACCAAGATCTGAGGACTCCTCAATACAAGCTCTCGGCAGATGAACTCCAGTGAAGTCTGGCCAGTCAATGTAAATAGAGGATGTGTGGGTTCTTGTGCCAATCTGATGTCAGCTTTCTTTACAATTTGTCATCACCTTAATTCAGAAATTCTGATTTGTGTAAGTGTAAACATACATATAACATTGTCATATCCTCTTTTTGGGTGCACATACCATGCCAACAGGGTGTACGCATCATGCCTTCATGACATACATACTGTGCCAACACAGTGCACATATCATGCCAACAGGATGTACATACCATGCCAACAGGGTGTACGTATCATGTCATGACATACATACCGTGCCAACACAGTGTACATACCGTGCCAACAGGTGTACGTATCATGCCATCATGACATACATACCGTGCCAACACAGTGTACATTCTGTGCCAATGGGGCTTACATACAGCAAATAGTGTAGGATGGATTGAGCAGGGTTAAATTTGGTTGTTGTGAAACGCCGCACTCATCAATATTCCAGCCATATGGTGTAAATAATCAAATCTGGACCAGACAATCCAGTGATCAACAGCATGAGCATCGATCTGCGCAATTGGGATACGATGACATGTGTCAACCAAGTCAGAGAACCTGACCACCCGATGACGTTAGCCGCCTTTTACAACAAAGTCGGGTTGCTGAAGACCAATTCTAATCGAGATCTTCACGGGTCTCTTGAGCAGGGATGTAGCACAGACAGAGCAGGGACGTAGCACAGAGCAGGGATGTAGCACAGACAGAGCAGGGATGTAGCACAGACAGAGCAGGGATGTAGCACAGACAGAGCAGGGATGTAGCACAGACAGAGCAGAGACAGACAGAGCAGGGATGTAGCACAGACAGAGCAGGGATGTAGCACAGACAGAGCAGGGATGTAGCACAGACAGAGCAGGGATGTAGCACAGACAGAGCAGGGATGTAGCACAGACAGAGAGGATGGATAGCAGAGCAGGGACAGAGCAGGGATGGACACAGGGATGTAGCACAGACAGAGCAGGGATGTAGCACACAGACAGAGCAGGGATGTAGCACAGACAGAGCAGGGATGTAGCACAGACAGAGCAGGGATGCACAGCACAGACAGAGCAGGGATGTAGCACAGACAGACAGAGCAGGGATGTAGCACAGACAGAGCAGGGATGTAGCACAGACAGAGCAGGGATGTAGCACAGACAGAGCAGGGATGCACAGCACAGGGATGTAGCACAGACAGAGCAGGGATGTAGCACAGACAGAGCAGGGATGTAGCACAGACAGAGCAGGGATGTAGCACAGTAGCACAGACAGCATGTAGCACAGACAGAGCAGGGATGTAGCACAGACAGAGCAGGGATGTAGCACAGACAGAGCAGGGATGTAGCACAGACAGAGCAGGGATGTAGCACAGACAGAGCAGGGATGTAGCACAGACAGAGCAGGGATGTAGCACAGCAGAGCAGGGATGTAGCACAGACAGAGCAGGGATGTAGCACAGACAGAGCAGGGATGTAGCACAGACAGAGCAGGGATGTAGCACAGACAGAGCAGGGATGTAGCACAGACAGAGCAGGGATGTAGCACAGGCAGAGCAGGGATGTAGCACAGACAGAGCAGGGATGTAGCACAGGCAGAGCAGGGATGTAGCACAGACATAGAAGAAATGTAGAAGGGATATAACGGTGATGTAGCAGGGACGTAGCAAACATGGAGCATGGACGCAGAAGTGTTGCAGCAGGGATTTAGCAGAGACATAGAAGGGACGTTGCAGGGACATAGCAGGGATGTAGCAGGGACGTAGCAGCTTTGAAGCAGGGACAGAGCAGGGATGTTGCAGGGATGGAGCAGTGATATAAAAGAGATGGAGCAGTGATGTAGCAGGGACGTAGTAGCAATGATATACCATGGACGCAGCTGGGATGAAGCCAAGATGCTTATTACACCAGGAAGTTAATACGAAAGACATTAATTATACCCCTGCAATACCATTACAATGTCCACATTGTTCATTTCGAACCAATCACTGCTAAGTAAATAGTGGATGTTTTGGGACACATAAAACAATTTGTATGAAAGGCGATTAATCTTAATACATGCTTCCACATAAACATGAAATTATGTTTGACATTTGATTTATACCAATGTTAAAGTAGATGCTGTTTTAGATCTATCACCTTTTTCAAATGCCATTTATTCTTGGGAAACTTCCAACCTATTTCAAAAGCAAATGCATTATAATCAATTTGATTGCCTTTCAGAAATGGGTTGAGGAGGAGAGATCCTGATTCCAGCAGACATATGTAACATATGGCTCAGATATTGCATGGTTAGGTGTCTGTACTGAGATCAGTTCAGTTCAATCCTCCCAAAGTTAAGTGAATACAAACCACTAAATCACAGTGAATTCATTGTGCTTTGTCCATCTTGGATACCAGACTGACAGACTGAGTAGGGTTTAATGCCACTTTTAAGACTATTCCAGTTATATCATGGCAAGTCAGCATGATGCTGGAGCAAATTTTTTAAGTCAAGTGATGCAGGTCTCTGGCATTAAATGCTTTTTTGACACCCACGAGCACAGGCACAGATTCTGAGAACCTGGGAATATAATTGGGGCTAACAAGTATTCAAACTCACTCTCAAACCAAAGAAAGAATCGTCACATCATAGAGTTTAAAGATATGAAAATCGATTGTTTAAACAAAATGATATTTTTTATATTCTCTAGTCACAAATTAATATTTTAATATCTCTGATTGAACAACTGTGTTATAAAATGGTATTGATTATGAGATTTATTGTTTTCCTTCCATCCTCGCTAAACCATACTTCTTTTTTGACAATTTGATTTTTAGTATATGGAAATCCCATTCATCGAAAAAGAAATAGTTGAGAAAATGGCAAAAAAAGCAATAAGATTCTGAAACAACTTTATGTGGGTGCTGGAGGTGCTGGAGGCAAACAACATTGTGAACAGGTCAAGTATAACGTGGACCATTCTGGGATTCGAACACAAGACCACATTTTACTGGCAGGGAGAGGCATGCTGAGGTTTGCACTGCTTAAAGTAACCACATTCAAGAGGGGGTTAAAACATAAACAACATTAAAAAAGAAATGACATAATTTTTCAGAAATGACAAAATATTTTCCTCATATTTTCCAATATTAAAGCAGTCTTTTGACAATGACAGACAATGGTTTGTCAGTGTTTTTCACAATTAGAATTGTATATATCCATGTGAATCCCTTTAAGTAGGTCAAAACACTACCTTCAAACATGTATGTCACCTAGGATCTGAAAAGCATTTGGTATATGGAGCAATTTTCTGCACTCACTCCAGACATTCAGCAATATTCCATCTATGAAGTTGTAATCGGTAAATAATTAAGTCTGGACCAGACAATCTGGTGATCAACACCATGAGCATCGATCTAAACAACTGGGATACCATCACGTGTCAACCAAGTCAGCCAGCCTGACCACCTGATCCTGTTAGTTGCATCTTATGAGAAAATGTGTTGCCGTCAACCAAATCTTCATTGGTACACTTCAGACAGATTAAAATGTATGCATGTGGGCATTATTTTAGTGTTTATGACTATATATCAATTCCACCACCTTGGTCAAGATTACTGCCCAAGGTTTGCTCTTTCGTGTTTGCTGTTAGAGTGAGTGAGTTGGGTTTAACCAAAGCATTTTAGCAATATTCCAGCAGTATCACATCAAGGAACACTAGAAAAAGTCATCAAAACATTGAATTGAACCTGGGACTTCTGTATGACGACCAAGCACTAACACCACGAAGCTACACTGTACCCAGAGAGGTTTTCGACATATGACGACCAAGCACTAACACCACAAAGCTACACTGTACCCAGAGAGGTTTTCGACATATGACGACCAAGCACTAACACCACAAAGCTACACTGTACCCAGAGAGGTTTTCGACATATGACGACCAAGCACTAACACCACAAAGCTACACTGTACCCAGAGAGGTTTTCGACATATGACGACCAAGCACTAACACCACAAAGCTACACTGTACCCTAACACACTAACACCACAAAGCTACACTGTACCCAGAGAGGTTTTCGACATATGACGACCAAGCACTAACACCACGAAGCTACACTGTACCCAGAGAGGTTTTCGACATATGACGACCAAGCACTAACACCACAAAGCTACACTGTACCCAGAGAGGTTTTCGACATTTGTCTTGAGTAATGTGGGGTACAGGATAGACACTTAAATCACTGAAAAGGTGACTTTTTGATATCTTGAAATGCCTGTGAAACCATCAGTTGCTAATTCTAATATATGTTAGAAAAATAGTACATTCAGTTTTTAAGAGCTTTCCATGTATCTAAAACACATGGTCTGGTTTCCTGAACATATCACATCATCAACACCAAATTCATTCTGAAAGGAAATTACATTAGAACATGTTGGATGTGGAGAGGATAACAAAAGAAATATGAAGGATGAATTCAAAATGATAATGATTTACCATCATTAACCTGTCATTAAATGTCCATACACAACTTGAACACGACATACATTCTGTAGAAAATTGCAATAGAAAAAGATACTATTACAAAAATATAACACATATCAATAACAGTATATACACTGATTACCTGTGGTTTAACCGAATGTGATGTATCGTGAAGAGCATTATTGCAAGGGATAGCTGTCATACTTTGATACTCAAACACATAACATTTGTTTGTTATGTAAGTCACATTCAACATTCAACAATATTCAATCTACATAACAGCAGTGTGTAAAAACTAAAGTCTGGACACCCATGTCAATCCAGTGATTGACATCATGAGCATCAATCTTCACAATTGGGATACCATGTCATGTATCAACCAAATCAGTGACTTTGACCACCTGATCCCATTATTTACTTCCAACAACGAGCCTCGCGAGCCTCGAAAGCCGAAGATCACTTTTTACCCCAAACCCCTTTACACAATAACATACAATTATAACATGACAAAAAATTAAAATTAGTAAAAGTGACGGGTTTTTTTGTATCAAAAAGAGAGAAGTAAATACCTACTTTACAAAATAAATCCTCCCAGTTCAATAAAAGAAGACAGCTTAAGAAGCTCACCTTCACCAACAATAAAACCTCAGCTTCCAGTTGAGGAAAAGAATCATCATTATGGGAGCAATGCCTCCCCGACAAGTCCTTCCACACGAGGGTAACTGCACTCTGTAATCAATGGGGCCTCAACAAGCAATATCAGACATCTTACTCATTTCCAACTGAACATTACCACTCTGCCTGCCCTGAGATAAACTATCACAGGATGCTACTTTCCTGAAGAGAGGTAATGCCAATTGAGAATAAAATTGGTGTGAAGCCTTTAGTTTTATTTTTGCAATTCTAGCAACCTTGATCAACATTCACCATCAACCATGGTAAGTTCATGTTTAATTTCATCTCATTATATGTACATTTTGTTTTCATGTTTAAGGCTTAGTTTTTGTAACATCACATAAAGTTTGTAATTCTTAATTAGATGAAGCAAACAATTTTGTTAACATCAAAAAGTTCATTTTTTTACTTTAACATTAAGGAAGTGTTCCCTAGTTATGAATAGATTTCAATAAAATTTGATTCTATTTCTATATCTTTGCACCAACAATAATTTTTTAAGCTTGAATTTTACTCAAATTGATGAGCTTGACAGACTTTCAAAATGATTTTCAGATTTGAGGACTTGACATAGGGTCATACTACTATTTTTAAAGAAAAGATGAAGTCACAAATCACAAATGCAGATATTTCACATTGGTAACTTGGTACTGGCAACCTAACTGGTACCAGGAACCCAAGGGCACAATGTGTGAAGCCCATTTCTGGTGTCCCCCATAGTACCATTACTGAAATATTGCTAAAAGTATCGTTACACCATTCTCACTCACTTGACCACTCACTCCCAGGAACCCCAAAGAGGTACAGTCATCCCTCGCCATAATGCGGATCTTGGAATCCATGGATGACCCCCCACGTTATAGTAACTATTACATAACGCGGAACAAAGGCCAAGTAAAATCGTATTTTCCATGGACATAACATAACTACTATTTCGTGTATTGTGCCCAGTCGAAACTATATCATATTGTTGGAGGTGAGGATAATATATAATATAAAATTAATGAATGAAAATGGGATTTAATTTAATCAAATAAAATGTGTTTTTTTGACATCATACATTATGGGATGGCGGTGTTTACCAGCGCAATAACGCGGTGTGTTGCATCACAGCAAACATTATAAATACTCGGCTGATGGCATGTCTTTATGATAAAGTTGTCTGTTATAAGTTATTACGATGTTTCGCTGTTCGTCTGATTATTATTGAGAAAACCCTGCATGTTTTAAGCATCTGCAAAAACCATGGGTATGTACGATAAACACTGTTAATTGCAATCTGCACTGAATTTCACTAGTTTACAACGTGATTAACCAGAGCTCAACAGCGGATTTGTTGATGTGCTTTTTTCGAGAGAGACATGAAGATGTGTGATCATTGAACAACCTTTTTTATGGGAGCCATGGATTACCCCGCAGTTTAACCGAATCCGCGGTATCGCGAAGAGCGTTCTTGCGAGGGATGACTGTATCATGATAATGTAAAGTTAAAATGAAATATATTCACTATAAATAAGCCTCCCTAAGCCTTATTATTAAGATTATACACAACAAGTAAACTTTGTTTTCAGAAATTCACTTGAAGTCAACAAAATATCTTCAAACCTCGAACTAAAACATTTTCACTGACAGTTACTAGGCATTTGTATGCTTCTTCTGCACTCCTGAGTTCTCAAAAGCATTATATTAAACATTTGAACATTTGAAATATAGAACGAACTTTATGG